CATGTGTAATACACACACACACAAACACACGCACACACACACACACACACACACACACATGCTCACACACTTTAAATACTGGATCCATAAGGATCATTCGTAACAGTGAATCATTTACCTGAGCTTGACCTGTTCGCCCATGGGTTACTCTGAATGGATCATTTTAATCTGTGAATCTTTTACTGGGAGACTCACTCTGAACGAATCATTTGAATCAGTTAATCATTTTATGGAGACTCACTCTGAACAGATCATTTGAATTAGTGAATCATTTAATGAAGACTCACTCTGAACAGATCATTTGAATCAGTGAATCATTTAATGGAGACTCACTCTGAACAGATCATTTGAATCAGTGAATCATTTAATGGAGACTCACTCTGAACAGATAATTTGAATCAGTGAATCATTTAATGGAGACTCACTCTGAACAGATCATTTGAATTAGTGAATCATTTAATGAAGACTCACTCTGAACAGATCATTTGAATCAGTGAATAATTTAATGGAGACTCACTCTGAACAGATCATTTGAATCAGTGAATAATTTAATGGAGACTCACTCTGAACAGATCATTTGAATCAGTGAATCATTTAATAGAGGCTCACTCTGAACAGATCATTTGAATCAGTGAATCATTTAATGGAGACTCACTCTGAACAGATTATTTGAATCAGTGAATCATTTAATGGAGACTCACTCTGAACAGATTATTTGAATTAGTGAATAATTTAATGGAGACTCACTCTGAACAGATCATTTGAATTAGTGAATCATTTAATGGAGACGCACTCTGAACAGATCATTTGAATCAGTGAATAATTTAATGGAGACGCACTCTGAACAGATCATTTGAATCAGTGACTCATTTAATAGAGACTCACTCTAAACGGATCATTTGAATCAGTGAATCATTCAATGGAGACTCACTTTGTACAGTTCATTTGAATCAGTTAATCATCTAATAGAGACTCATTCTGTACAGTTCATTTGAATCAGTTAAACATTTAATGCAGACTCTGAATGGATCATTTAAATCAGTTTTTTATTTAAAGGAGACTCATTCTATATGGATTATTTGAGTAAGTGAATCATATCCTGGAAACTCATTTTGAAAAGATTATTTGAATCAGTGAACCATTGAGTAGAGACTCACTCTGAAGAATTTATTTAAATCAGTGAATCATTTAATGGAGTCTCAATATGAATTGATCACTTGAATCAATTATTCATTTAATTGAGACGCACTGTGAACAAATCACTTGAATCAGTGAATCCTTTACTGAAGACTATCTCCTTGCAGATATTTTGAATCAGTGATTCGTGTATTGGAGAACTCGCTCTGTTTAAATAATTAGAATCAGTTAATCATTTAATGGAGACTCGCTCTGTATGGATCATTTGAATCCGATAATCATTTAATGGAGACTGAACAGATCACTTGAATCAGTGATTCATTTACTGCAGACTCACTCTATATGAGTAATTTGAATCAGTTAATCATTTAATGGCGACTCACTCTAAACAAATCATTTGAATTAGTGTTTCATTTACTGCAGATTCTATATGGATAATTTGAATCAGTGAATTATTGAAATGAGTCTTATTCTGCAATTATCATTTGAATCAGTTAATCATTTAATGGAGACTCGCTCTGTATGGATCATTTGATTCAGTTAATCATTTAATTTAGACTCACTCTGAACCAATCGTTTGAATCAGTGGTTTATTTGCTGGAGACTCACTCTAAACAAATAATTTGAATTAGTGATGCATTTACTGCAGACTGAATCTATATGGATAATTTGAATCAGTGAATCATTTAAAGGAGACTCACTCTGAACAGATCGTTTGAATCAGTGGTTTATTTGCTGGAGACTCACTCTGTATGGATCATACTGTATGAATCAATGAATCATTTACTGGAGATTCATTTGAATCAGTAAGTTATTGAATCATGAACAGATGTCTGAAATTGATGTCAGAGATGTTCAAATTAATTGTTCAGTTCAGTTTGTGAAGTGATTCACCGGGATAACTGATCAAATACAACACCACTATCTCACTTCAAAGTATCTTTAACTCCGCTTCATTCAGTAATACTGTCTTTGGGAATGTAGTGAAGTGTGTACTCTGTGTGTGTTTGCAGGTAAGTGTGTATCTTGTTCCACAAAGAAATGAGATGATTTTCTTTGAGGTTTTCCAGCAGCTCCTCCATATATATCCCTCATATATGGACGCTCCTCATGTTTCCTCATCAGTGTGTGTTTTTTGCAGGTTTGCCGTCAGGAGATCTTCGGGAGCTCTGTGAGTGTGTTATTGACTCTTCTGACTCTGTTGGTGTGTGTGTGTGTGTGTGTGTGTGTTCCTGCAGGATGGAGTCAGCTGGCCGCTATGCACTGTGTGATGCTCCCGGATCTGCTGGGTTTGGATAAGTTCAGGCCTCCTCTGCTGGAGATGCTGGCGCGCAGATGGCAGGACCGCTGCCTGGAGGTATGCACCACATTCACGGCATCTATCTGCTTTACTGATATCAGGCTTCAAGGGTTAGTTCACGCAGAAATCAAACATTCTGGGGACTTTCTGAAATAGCAGGACATTTTAAAAGCTCTGTTCCTGAGATTTAAAGCCAGAAATTACAGATGTGTGTTTGTGTTTGTATGTGTGAGTGTATGGAGCCAGATCAGTCTCAAAAATGTTACATTGCATTCATAAAATTCATAAATGCACAGCACAATTCATAAATCCACAACTCCAGTTCATAAACGCAAAACACAATTCATCAATTCAAAAGTATAAAGCAAAAAAATTACCCAAATGCGCACACACATGGTGCATCCGGAAAGTATTGACAATGTGAAAAAAGGGTTTTTGAAATTGTTGCAAATTTATTAAAAGTAAAAAAGCTGTAAATCACATGTGCATCAGTATTGACAGCCTTTGGCGTGAAGCTCTACATTGAGCTCAGGTTCATTCTGTCTCCACTGATCATTCTTGAGATGTTTCAGCAGCTTCATTGGAGATCACCTGTGCTCAATTCAGCTGATTGGACATGATCTGAAAAGGCTACACCTGTCTATATAAGGGCCCAGGGTTGACAGTGCATGACAAAGCACGAACCAAGCATGAAGACAAAAGAATTGTCTGCAGACTTTTGAGACAGGATTGTCTCAAGGCTGGGGAAGGTTACAGAAACATTTCTGCTGCTCTGAAAGTTCCAATGAGCACAGCGGCCTCCATCATCCGTAAGTGGAAGATGTTTAACCACCAGGACTCTTCCTAGAGC